GTCACGAAAAAAGGACTATTTGTGAATATGTAATGTCAAAAATCAAAAAAAAAAAAAAAAATTAACATTATAAAATACTTTTAAAAAACAATATAGAAAAGAAAATAAAACAAAAATGCAAATTGCATGAAAATGCGGAAAATTAAAACACATGAAATTTTTCTGCTTTTTCAATTATCTCTCGTTTTTGGATGGATTTTGAACGAACTTATGAGAGCACTTACATTTGTTCTAAAAAATTACAAAAACAAAAAAATAGCCAATAAAACCTTATTTCGAAACTACTATGACATTCAGCATGAAACTAACATAACACTCAATAAACACATCATCAGCGCGCAATTTTTATAAAAACTGAAGTAGAAAAGACAGTCTTTTGCGCCATAAATTCAATACATATGATACTTTTTTCTTCTTTTTTATCCTTAAGTTAGTTTTTTTTTTGAAAAAGTGCTTATTATAAAAAAATGACGAGTAGGACGCTTTACAAGATTCATGCTCCTAGGCTCTGCTCTGTTTCTGTTTACAGCTAAGAGATGAAACACAGACTGCTCTTCGATATGTCCACGAGTATATTTATATTTAAATCGATCCATTATTTTTGAACTTAACACATCTTCTAGACTGAAACTAATGGAAAAATTTTAGACTACAAACAGTTCTCACTTGCAACATAAGCCAGTACCTCCCTACCATCGTCAGCTTTACAAACTTATATTTTACAGCTTTCGTTTTATGTCACTAGCCACAACTCTTCTCTCAAAAATGAAGAGTTTCGTGCCATGACGTCAACAAAACATCAACAAACATGAAGAAATGCACATTTCCACCAAAAATCAAAAGAAATTTGGCATGGAAGACGGAAAATTTTCCCAGAAATATGCAAAAAATAAATCAAATCGACATAAATCGATCTCTCTCACAACATGTTTTTACGGCCGGAAACTGCCTTCAAATTTATATTTCAGGTCATTTCAACAAGATTATTTTCTTCTCGAAAATGTCTCACTTTGAAAGCAAAAAGGTCGGCAGTGGTTAAAATAAAAAGGAAATCCGTATCAGCATGAACGCCAACGATGTTTTCCGACACGGCTCCATCGTCTCCCGAATCCGAACGTTTGCTCAAAGTGATCAGATACTGCTTCGCTAAATCCGGAATTCGTCGGCCTGTCCTTCGGTTTCGCAGATCTGCAATTTGGACAGCAGTGAATCTACGGCAACCAAAACTTTTTTGCTGTAGTGGGCCAGCAACCAGACAGCTCTTCATCTGATAACTTTCCTTCCCTACAGCAGTCGTAATATTGCTACAGTAGTCCTACCGTAATTACACTGCTACAGTATCCAACACAAATGCGATACAGTAGTCCGGGAACCTAATCTAGAATCTTATCACACAGATCGAATAGTTTTAGTGTCCTGACTGTTAGGCCAGTGTGATTACTGGAAAAAAACTTCACACTCTGTGATGGTAATTCAAAACAATCGATAGAAAAATAATAGCACCTGAATCAACAATAAGCGGTTGCCAGTACACAAATGCATGTCGTTTAGCTTCCACAATAACAGCATATTCACCTCCGTTCTGGCAAGTGGTGAATCGCCTCTGCGTTTTTGAAGCCTGAAAATTGAAAATATTAAAGCGTAGCTGGAAGTGCTGCCTGTTGTATAGCTGAAATTTAAGATTATCAATTAACAGCTACCCCAGGTATTCCCAATAGCATAACGGAAAAATCGCTGTTTAGCTTCGGTAGCGCATTTTTGGTTTGGTACGTGCAGACGCTGTTTCCCGATGTTCCCACGTGCTGTTGTAGAGTATGTATTTTCCGCCGCACAGCTGCCTGACCCTTACTGCATAACCATCGGCTGGATAAGCTAACAACAACCCGTGCCACCTATCGCAAAGCACTCGCGAAAAGCCGGCCAAAAAGTCGTCACAAAGAAAAAGAGAAGAAAAGCACGGTGCATCTTGCTTTGAAAGGCAAATAAACAGTAGATGTGCTACCAGGCTGAACACGAAGCACGAGGGCTGCTGGTGTAGTGGTAACACGTTGCATCTGGGCACGAAGAGGATTGGTTCGATTCCCTCTCGGTCCAGAACAATTTTTGCGAAAGGGCTCCATTCACAACATCACTTGCCGCTTATCCGAACAAGAATGAAGCACAGCACACAGGGAAATATTACGGCCACAACTAGCTACGCAACTGACAATCTCAATAAGTATATTAAGCAGTAACCACTTCCATATCACGATGAATGTGTAATCTGTAGAAGATATAAAATATGTTCAAGCAAAAAAAAAAATTCGCATCTAAAAAAAATAAAAAAGTGGGCACATGCCTGAACATAACCGAGAGCATTGAATGTTGTACAGTGATGCACTTTTTCTTTTTGATCGATAAATTCCCAGACAATTCCATCAACATCCATTCGCAGACACAAACAGCGAGGTCCCGGATGCAGTTGCGCGGAAAACAACACATTATGACCAGTTATATCACACTGAAAACAAAAAGTATTGCAGTAAAAAAAGTAAAAATTGAGGATTCCAATCCGTTACTGGGAGAACAATCAATCTTTTAACAATTTGTTCATTCGTTTCGATGATAAATTGGTACTAACGTAAACCAGAACCAGAAATAGC